ATTCAAATTTCGGAGTCCACAAAACAATTTGAGTGGCGTACAAAAATGAAGGCAGCGTTACTGAATTTAATTAGCATAACTGAAACCAAAAAGAAAGCAACATTTATACTATAAGGCCCGCTGGTATTTTGGGATGGGATTGGATTGAACTAATGTAAATGAAATGAATTGGACTGTTATTAAGTATAATCGTTATGTATGATAAGATGTTGGATAACTTTTATCTTTATAACTAAAAAATAATGTATAAATAAGTAAAAAAACAACAGGACGGTGTAAAAGACAATTTTGTCCCCAAATTTTTGCCCCAACAATTTTGAATCCTTCATCATTACCATTTCCAAGCTTGCTTCCCAATGGCCAACCCTGGAGAAGCATCACCATCAATCCATAGACACTGCCACAAAACTTGCTTCCGAAGCGAAAAAAGGAGATGCAAGACCTACAACCATCTTCAGACCGTCGCCGTCGCATTTGGTGAGAAGCTCTAGGTTCCGGAGATCGTGCCTCTCGGCGGCCAATTGGGGGTAAGAGCTCGTTGCTCGAAGCTCTCCTAGGGGTTCCAATTCAATGTGCGGGAAGTTGAGATGGGAACTTGACGGCCGCTCGTGTTGCATATGGTTCACGATTCGACTGATCTTGAGCCTCAATGTCGATTTCAGGTCATCTATATTTCGTCCCTATTTTTTTCTTTTTTTTTTTTAAGTTTTTCGCCAGAATCGCAGGTGATTATGAGGATCTCACGGGCGGGGGCATCAGCTGCCCACGAATCAAGTATTGATTTGGAGTTGAAGTCTTGGATGGCGGCTTTGATTTGGAGGAGAGTTTCGAGGTGTCGGAGGNAAATGTGTCTTTTCACTTAACCTTTGTATTTGGTCTACTTTTACGTTCAATGTGCTATCCGACAGTTTGGGAGAATGGGAGATGCCAAAAAGAGATGCCCTACTTGCTTGGATCCCAATTCATCGACACGTCTTATGCTTACGTGCGCATCTTATCGTATTCTGTGCATAGATCGGGGCCCTTAATGTGCATGCCCTCCAATGGTAGGATTTTTTTTTTCCTTTTGTGACTTATAGAAACCCTTATGGGCCGTCTTTTCTCCCTTTATCGCTTCTACATTCTTCACTTTCATTTTTTACAGAACCATCTTTTCTCGATTTTCATCTTGGCTCGAATCACCAAACTCACCTCTATAACTTCGTCGATTTCTCGGACTCTTCTTTGTGTAAGGTTGATGGGTACATTCTAGACCTTTCTTTACATCATATACTTTCTTTTTCACTCTTCTGTTTCGGGAAATGGAAGAGGGCGAGCTGCCAAATCCCCCGCAGGTAATCGCGCAGCTTATATATTTTCATTTTTTCTCTGAATCTTTGATCTTTATCACTTTATCTTTTTTTTCGGCATTGGAGACTACTTAGGTCGTCTCCTGCAGCTTTCTTTCTTTAGATATGTTTTTTAGCTATGTCGTCAAGCTCTTCGACTTCCTCTTTCCAAAAATGATTAAATGCCATCATTGATAACTTCTTAACCCTCCAAACCATTCCCCTTGCCACTACCCCTTTAGCCTCACGCCGGCCCGCAGAGGTGACTATCGCGGAAGGTGCTCAAGTCGCTCTCTCTCCGAATTTGGTCCAGGTCTCTAGACCCATTCCTTTACCTGTCTGGTCAGGTACTAACCTCAAATACTTTAGACATGATTGCGAGGTTCCTCACTTGTGTGAGATTCAACTTCCAAAAGCTGAGGATTCTTTCTCCAAGCCCTCCGAGGGCTTCTATGACTTCTTTGCAGACTAGGTGTACGTCAGTCTCCCCTTTTCCTTAAAACATGACCTCCTAGAGTTGTTTCAGCTCTACAGTGTACCTTTAAACCATAATAGCTTTTTATAGTTAACATTTTTTATTCATGACATATATCTTTTTTTTGTAGTTACATAATTATTTAATAAAAAAAATAAAGAATTATTAAAAATAAATTATTATAAAATTATAAAATTAGTTTTTTTCATGACATAATTATAGTTAACACTTTTTTAATGTATTTATTATTAAATAATAATAAAATTATATAAAAAATTATGTCATGAATAAAAATATTAACTATAATTACGCCATGAATAAAATTATTTTTGTAATTTTATAAATTATACCATATATGTCTTTTCCATTCCTTCGAAAATTAATTTTATGGTATAGACGCTTATGATCTCTCCTTCCAATTGGATGACCCTTCATCTAACATGCCACTTGGTAAGTTGAATATAACTATTTTTGTAATTTTATAGTTAATTTGTTTTTCCTAATTACTATATTTTTATTAAATAAATATAAAATTAGAAAAAAACAAATATGTCATGAATAAAATTGTTAGCTTTAACTATGTCATGAATAAAACTATTTCTGTAATTTTATGAATTATTCCATATATGTCTTCTTCATTTCATCGAAAATAGATGTTACGGTATAGACGTTTATGACCTCCCCCTCCAATTGGGTGGCCCTCTATCTGACATGTCACTTGGTAAGTTGAATAAAATCATTTTGTAATTTTATAGTTAATTCTTTTACTATTTTTTATTAAATTATAAAAATAATTACTATATTTTTTATTAAATAATTATAAAATGAGAAATGCTAAAGGTAAATATTGTAGATAGAGGTGCACATAACACTCACATTGAGTGGGACCGACCAAAAATAAAAATCAAGTGGACCCCACTCCATGTGAGTGTTATGTACACCTCTATGTACATTTATTATGTACTTGCAGCATTTTTCTTATAAAAATACCAAAAAAATATGTCAAGAATAAAAAATATTAACTATAATTATGTAATCAATAAAACTATTTTTATAATTTTATAACAATTTGTTGTTATAGTTAAAATTTTCTACTATATTTTTATTATATAATTAAAAAATTACCAAAAAAATTGATATATATTTCAAATGTGAATATTCGAAAATAAATCAAGTCAAAAATTGGGTAGTGCTTGTTTAGTAGTATTTTGTGGATAGTTGGTAACCGAGCTACCCGACCTCGAGTCGTTCTCAAAAAAAGACGGTTCGGAGCTTTGTTCACCACTTAATTGTCCAAATCACACAAAATGAGAAAATAAAAGCTAAACATGTTAATCAATGGGTTGGAGAGTGAATTAATGCTAATCAATGCTCGGAATTGAAATGCAACAAGTAAACTAGAGAATAAAACAATTCCCACTACCGGAGTCTATATGTCATCGACACCAAATGAATTCAACGACGAACAATATGCGCGTTCTAAGCACTAGATCACTAACCCTAACCTTCTAACCTAAGTGATCAAACTTTAAATAGTGTCTTAACCCTTAATCTAGATAGGCAAGTGATTAGTCCCGACTAAAACAAGCAAGAGCAATGATCAAGTCCAAACTTCCCATTCATCATCCAACAAACACTCAAATTCACTTTGATAATCATCATAAGTAAAAACGAGGCAAAAACCGAAGTAATGAGCTTTAAAAGTAAATACCCAATCTTCTATTGCGTGCTAGACGAAAATCGAAGTCAAAAGCTCGGAACTTGAACAAAATAAGAGTCGCCGGAAAATGATGTCATAGAGCTCCCAAGAGAGAGAAGAGAGAAAACTAAAAAGAAAAGAAAAATTCCTAAAGAGGAAAAGTGAGAAATGAAATCTAGATGATGCAATTACAAAGGACCAAAATGTACTTATAGTCTAGCCCAAAACATACACTAATCTCACGCACATTTACTAAGAGACACTCTCGAGCTCGCGGGACAATTCGCTGGTCGCGGGCATGGAAGGCACGGAGGTGGCACGAGGACGGCGCGAGGCAAACGGGCACTCTCGAGCTCGTGGCAGGATCCGCGCGCGCGGACGTGAGTTGGAAGAATACTCTCGATATCGCGAGTGTTGCCGAGGGCGCGGGCGCGAGGAGAAGGTGCTCTCGAGTTTGCAGAATAGGCAGCGAGATCGCGAGTAGCATCTGGGCAGCGGCACTCTCGGCGTCGCGGGGGTCTTCGCATGTCGCGGGCTCCGGGGAAACAGCATCTTGCGTCCGCAAGGCGCGGGCTTCGGCTCGTGGTCGCGAGTGCGGCCTATTTTTTAGGCTTTTCGTCAGAATGGCTCAAAATACTCGGATTAGAAATGGCTCGTACGAAATGGCTCGAAACTTCTCAAAAGTGACTCGGAATACTTTGAAAAAAGGCACGTCTCTCGGGACTCGGTTCGACTCTTCTCTTCATCCACGGAATAAACCTGAAATACACCCAAAAGCACGGAAAAGTACGCCAAAAATAGAATAAAGAAAAACACAAAGAAAATACACGAAACACAATAAAATGGACCGGTTGACACTAAAACGAACCTAAAAAGACTAAACTACAACACATAAAACACACGAAAATAAGCACAAAAACATAATAAACAACTCCCCCACACTTAGTTTTTGCTTGTTCTCAAGCAAACAAAGTAGTAAGTAGCTCGAAAAGAAACATCGAATGGTCCAAGGTTAACAATCATGCGAATATGAGACTCTCCTTATCATCCGGTAAACCAAAGAATCGAACTCAAATTCGAAAACATGTTCCCCACGAGATAAATCCATACAAAACAAAAACCCGTCCCAAGTTATCCTACACATGATTTTTTCGATCAAAGCCTTCTTTTTCTACAAACACGTGATAAAAGCTATATATTGTCTACTCAAAATGTAAAGTATGATAAACGAGACCGAATAAGCCAACTCCCTCTCTTTATTAGTTTGTTTTTGTTATTTTGTTTTTTTTTTTTCGTGAGCTTTTTTTTCCGAACGAGGTTTTCTAGACAATGCTTATTTAGGTATACCCTCGATTAGTCAACTCGAGTTCCCTAAACCGGTTTCTCGGGCTCATTATCCCATTTCACGAGGTGAATAGGGATAAGCGGAGCCTAGTCCGTACCTCCTCGCGAACTCACCTATTATTCTTCTTTTTTTTTTTTTCGCAGGGAATGGCACAAACGTACATCATAAATGTAATCATATAATCGCACAATCGATCAAGATGCACTTCAAATAAATAGCATAACATGTTTACAATTATATCGAGCATAAGGTAAGCTTATCTCAAGTCAATCAATCGAGAACCACAAGGGAGAAAACAATTCCGTGAATTCACATGCGGGTCCCACATTTACAAATTATCATCCAATTCAAAGGTACCATCCAAATAATCAAGTTCATAAAGCACGAAATTTAACAATAACGCCAATCAACATACTTATCTCACCACTTAACCATTTTGGGCCTTTAAACACACATCAAGCTTCATGAAGGGGGAATCGATACAAACACATAAAAAATACAAACAAAACCAACAAAACTGGTCCAACACACGAAGATAAAACACCGAAAATGAAAGAAATATCGCCCAAACATGCACAATCACAAAATTCCTCCCCCACACTTAAAACAAAGCAACGTCCTCATTGCTTGACTAAAAAGCATAGGATCGAGCACATAATCACATAGGCTCATGCGATAAACGAGAAAGAACAAAATAAACAAGCAAACAAAAGAAAAAAAACACAAAGACACACAAGAAACAACTAAGAGAAAAGGAAAATGCGTACTCTACACGGTGGTGCACCACCATGTGTCGAATGGTGTTCGTCCGGTAGGAATAGAGAAGATGAGCCGAAAGTCCTCAAGCGAAGGTCGAAACCATTCAAACGGTTGGACACTGAACGCAAAAACCGAGATAAACAAAGGCCACATGTATGTGCCTCGGAGAGATGATAGCCGTGAATTCACAAACTCAACGAAGGCACATGTAGGTGTGAAAGGGAAAAAATCAGGCCTCGAAGCCGTCAATGGCATGAGCAACTCCTCTTTTGTTCAACGCATGAAACAATTTCCGGCACTAGCCGTATGTAGTAACCTACAAACTCCAAAATCCGGCAACAACAACACAAAAATTGGCACGCCCGGCAAGACGTGCCTATCAAGAACAAGTCCAACTCCAATCACCCACTACGACTACTCCGGCAAGAGTAGTGACCAGAACTCGACACAAATGGACATGCAAGTATAGGTAGAGCCGACATACCTTAGAAAATGTCGAGAAAATGGTCGTCGGAATTTCGTAAATAGAAAGAGATGAAGTAAGGAGCTCCGGTCGCCGGAAAATAGATCAAGCATGGAGAAATGATGGTAAGAAACATGAAAAACTCGAAAAGGACTAACCGGAAGCTCGGTGGGTGCTCGTTCGTCGGAAAAAATGGTCGCCGAAAAAGTTTGTCGGATCCGGCGACGGTGGCCGGAAAAAAGTGCGGCCCTGCGAGAGGATTCCAGGAGTGCCTTCAGATTTTGATAACTCCAAGTGAGTCACCGGCAATTTGGATTTGAAGGTTGAAGTAGATGTGTAGATCTAGAGCTTTTGGCCGAAAATCAGAAGCCTTCCTGCCGGAATTTTCGCTTGATACTCGGATATGTCGTCAGCGTCGAGAAGATCTTCATGTTGATATAAAATTCGTCACGATCGGAGAAAGTTGGCCAGAAAAGGTGGCTGCCGGCGCTGGCAGGTGGTCAGGCCTCGGTCGGGCTGGTGTGGGTTGTTGGTCGGTCGGGCTAGGCGCTGGAGATGCAGGCGGGCCGAGCTCGCGAGGTCGCCTGCGAGTCCGCCGCGTGGAAAAACTGCTTCAGAAGGTTGAGGTTCGGAGCTCCGCGCCTCGCGGAAATGGCCGCCAACTCGCGAGTGGTGGTCCGGGCGCGCGGGTGAAGTCGTCGCACGGTAAACACGCTGTAGAGGTTTGAGGG